TTGATCACAGCGAGAATGACGACAGCATAGCAGGAAAGCCATCTGGCCCGGCCACCAAGAAGCCGGAGCGGAGGAAGGACGAAGCGGAGGCCACAAAGGTATGTTGTGTAACCTTGACTATCACTTTAAAAGTAAATTTTCCCATGAACAAAACGTAACGCTCCTGTCGAACAGTCTGAGCATTACAATTTAAATTATTTGCACAAGTTAAACAGCCGTTTATTTTATCATGTTGCATATTCCTTCAAATTAAGCTGCTGACTATGGCCATCACCTTCCTTTTGCCCTCCATTCTTAATGGTCACGATTGTTGTGTTTTTGTGAATTGCTGTACCAGTAGTACACCAAAATATCTAATGAATGTATTTGTTTATCCACCTGTTAATGTTTGGTCACACTCATGGAAAAATTATTAAAAGTGTGCATTGAGTATTTCACGTTCATAGTTTTCGTCTGGCTTGATTAATGTATTTTAACCAAAAAAACCTATATTATGCAAAAAAAACAACTCCTTATTTAACTTAATGAAAACTGGATGTTCTTTAAGTTTATTTTTTAAATTCATAAGATGTCTGTACTTGGTGTATCTCACACTGACCTCATTGTAAGTTTAGTATTCGTGCAATTCTTATAGTGCAAGGCTGTCACGAATGCGCTTTGTTTCACATATGACCAATGTTTGCTACGTGGCTTTACCCAACTGGATAATTTTCAAAAATATTCAAGTATTTGTTTTATTTGGAACGTGTGGCGTAGGTGGTCTATTGTTTTTAAATAGCCATATGGAATCTTAAGTGTCTACTGCTAAACCGATGACATGCATTTTTGGTTTATACTAGCAGCCCGCACACCCTCTCCCCACTTTCCCTGCCACCTCCCCTCCCTTGGACGGCTAGCTGACGAATATAGTATATTATAGTATGATAGTGTATCATCCGTGGCCGGGGTGGAGGGTAGGTGGGGCTTGACGTCAGCACACATAAACCCGACTCAACCCTGTGGGATGCGAGTGATGTTATAAGAGCCAGCCAGTAAAACTTAAAAAAACTCCGCGGTCAATGGGCTTGTACTGTGAACCCCTGCAACAAAAGGCAAATATGCTACCGTTCGGCCATGTCACATCCTCCAGCACTAGTGGTCATGGAGGAGCCAACTCCAAACAGTCGCTTTTGTGTGCTTGGCAGGCTGAGGCTGAGAAGGTCAAGGGTCGCAAGAAGTCGGTGCAGCCAGAGGTGGCTGGAGGAAGCGGCAGCAGCAGCAGCGGGGACACATCCGTTGTACGGGACGAGAGCCAAGTGGATTCGGACGCCTCTTCACCGGCGCTGCAACAAACGAAGCAGAACCGCCGGGGAAAGAAACGCGGGGAGGATGACGAGGACGAGTCCCAACAGGGGGCTTCAGCAGCTGGGAAGAAAGCAGCCCGTGGCCGAGGAGGAAGGACGGCAGCAGCTGCAACGGCAACACCGCCAACAGAGGAGACGGCTAAGCCAGGAAAGAGAGGCCGTAAGAAGGCAGCCAATGGTTCGGATGCTGACTCGTCACCGGCGCCTCCCAAGGGGAACAAGAGAAGCAAAGCCATGAAAAAAGATGAGGAAGACGAGTGAGTGGTGCATAAATACCATCATAATACATCCACCTCTCACCGTCCCAGCATTGCCCATCCATCACTCGCCAATGCCTCAGACGTTTGTTCAAGTGTTTTTTCTTATTTGTCGCTGTAGAGCAGTGTCTCATTAGTTGTCATATCTGTTAAATTAAGAGCGTTTTTTTTCTCCAGTCTTACATAGGTTGATTGTATATTTAGTTGGCCGAGTGATAGATGTTAGCATACGAAATTAATTTTGACTTTCACTGGCGGCATTACTGCTGTGATGTCTTTAAATGTTCATATGACACTTTGAGATCCATTAAGGGCACCGTATAAATCTCAATGAATATTATCTTTTTAATGTGCTATTATTAAAAAGCCACTCCATTGGTAAATCATGAGGGTGTTAATATCGCACCTCTATCCCTAAGGGAATGATTGAATATTGCAGTTAACATCCCACCCTCAACAGTTGTGATGTTTGCGCAGCTCCTTGCGGTATATTTGTGAGGGTTTTTTTATGACTGCAGAGTCGATTCCCATGATTCTGCCGAGGAGGCTTCGAACACAAAGCGCCGTAACGTCTCCAAAAAGATAACCAAAAACACCCCGTCTGACAAGTAAGTAATTTGGACTCTACAGTACAATTGGCTGGATTTAATTATCAGTTTATTTAGCTGGTAACACAAAACCATTTACATTTTTAAGAAGTACTTCCTTCCCTCTGAAGGTAAGCTTTGGATAGAGCAACGTTGCCAGAAAACTGTGTTGCCGATCAATTTTTTTTTTTTACCAAACTTGAAAATGCGCTTGTGCCGGCCTGTGTGCAGAGAACAGCTTGTGCTGGGCAGTGAAGGCGAATCGATGCAGGAGTCTCAGAGCAGTTCCCTCGAGACCAACGACGTGGAGAAATCGTCGCACACCGAGGAAACATCCGTGGAGCCAGAGGCCATGGAGGCCGAGGATGATGAGGATGCTGACGAGGAAGCCACAGAGACTCTAAAGGTAACATTTTGACCTGCTGTAGTGCAAAATGCTGCTGGTCTGAAAATTTCTGCGCCAGTTGGTAGACCCTCACCCTATCCCATAATCCCCCAAACCACCTTATCCCTTTTTTTTCTCCATACATGGGAATGAAGCTTACATTATCATTCATTGCTGTGTCTCGTGGGCCTCAAAACCCATTTCTTTTAGCGTATTTACGAGGGAAACCTAAATTATTTTTGAGGCATTGGGAGTTTGGCTAATGATATTGTAATGGAAAAAGTTTTGCATTATGTAGGAGAAAACTAGTTCTTTCGCGATAACCCACACATGATAGGATAACATGTCTGCACAGGTTTCACCAACTTGCTGTACTGCCACCTTGTGGCAGTACCTTGCAACCCAGTGGGTTTGGTATGGTGTTATAGTCCACCAATACTTTCTTCAAAAGTGCTCGATTGCAGGCATGACACTAAAACCAATTCTGTAAACTTGCTTAGGCATGTTATTTACCAGTTTTGTTTCCTGCTTATCTGGATTCCTGTTTCCAACCCAGTGCAAGAGAACCGCCTATTTCTTAATCAGGATAAAAATGTGCCCAGACCATCTTTTATAACTGGCCAGTTTTGACATTAACAAAAATAATTTAAATCATACATTCATACCATCACCACATTTAGTGGTAGTCTGCTACTGTTCATACTCCGTATATACATTTTTAAACCGAGGTCTGACCTAATTCCTGAATCTCTCATGCCAAAAGCATGGGTTGGGTCACTTTAAAAACCGGATGGGCAGAAAATTATCGAGTGAAGCTGCATTCGTAGTTGTACATCTGCAGCAAGGGAGGAGAGTAGTGTGGCTTGTGCCTATTATTGTGTGCATGTCAATCTACTTCTGGGCGAGGGCCTCCTCCCCTCGGTATGTGGGTCGTAAGGCTTTACCACGTTTCACCACTCTAGCTAGTGCGGGCTGAAGACTGAACGGAGAGGTGTAGGAATATAGCACTGCAATACAACACTGGATTTTCTGAACGAGCATTGGCTACCCACTTTGTAGCCATGAAATCTATAACAACATTTTTTATGCATGGTGATTACCCATCCCTGGACAATCCAGGCTCAAACATACCTTCCAATATCTCCCGAGACCAGATGCATTCTGGGAGATTTGGTCATAAGATTTTACTCAGTGTTGCTGTTATTGGTTTAATATATTTTATTGTGAACATTCTACATGTTAACAGTTATAGAATTACATATCAGTGTCCCTTCAAATAATTCTGGTAAATGAAATTGTGCACAATTATTTCACTATGTACCATGCTTTGTATCTGTAATAATATTTACTTCATGTACTTATCCAGTCTTATTGCTTTCAAATGTTTTCTTTATTTGCCTCTTTCCAGGTGAAGCGCAAGCCAAGCAACAAACGGAGCCGCAGATAGATGCCATCGCCTTCATGGGGTTTAAATATTTTATTTTTAACAGCCCACGCTGTTGATTCAAAAAGCATCACTTAAACCCTTTTTTCTGTCCAATCTGTGACAACCACACCCCTGAATTTAAGACCTGCCCAGCCAGGAAGTATTCCTCGATCTCTATTGGCAATGCATCAAACCCCATTCATGGCTTCATGATTGCCAACATATTTTAAATTACTCTCTTCGGTGGATGTCTGTAAATAGTTGGAACCCAGATTAAATTTGACTTATGAATTGATTATTATGAACTTGATAGGAAATGTTATCCACCTTCACGCTACTCCCCAGCAAACGTATTTGCTCTGTTTCAATGAAGACTTGACCACATTGCCCTTGGTGTAGAAGCACTGTGTTGTAGATCAATAGTCATTGCTTTATAAAAAAAATTAAAATAAAACAAAAACTGTGGAGGCTGTGTAGGAAGTTGTGCTAATAAAGCTTTTAATGAAGTCTGCTTTAATGTGTTTGCGACAGCCACTGTCTTCAACGTTAATTCAGATCACCAGTACGTAAAAACCATTTTGGGATCAAGAGCTAGTCAAGCAACTGGTTAATTGCTTGGGATTTGTTTGGCTTGTAAACATTTGCAAAATGTTGCCTGTTGGGAGTTTTATCTGTAGCTGTCGCTTCCTTGTAATAAAATAAAATCTTTGTTACATATTGTTTTAGTACCGGCTAATCGGTTGTTTTTTGTTGGAATTTCCTCCCCCCCCCCTCCAACAAATTGGTTGCATCATTTGGTGCATAAGTTATAATTTTTTGTACCAGAGGACACCTTTTGTTGCTATTCTATGTTGAACGGTTTGCAAGGAGAAAAAAATATGCTTTACAAAAATAACTGGGCAAACTTACTACAGCATGGGTTTAGAATAAAGAGCAGCCTGACCATGGCAGTATCAGTGGTCCATAGCTTTCACTTTAAATAAGAGACACTTTTGTGCAATGCATAACTTAGGTTTTATTAGAAACATTGTCAAAAGCCTTTACTCTACTTGAAAACAAGACTTCTTGGTACAGTTGGCCCGTAACACTCTCATTTAGTTTGTTTGCTGTTAACATGCATGCTTGGGATGAGTATGGGTATTCAATTATCAGTAGTGTATGGCCACATGTTTAAGGGACATTTAATACTGTGGTTTTTTAAAAATAGGTTTCCATATTGTCCAAATTTGATGCTTTCTTGAAGCTAAATTTCAAGTGGACAGGTGCTATTGCAATAAAATTAACCACTGTGGAACTTAATGAGTTACTTAGAGCCAAATGGTTTTAAATAAAAGCACAGCTGCTACAGTGGATGTGTAAAATTGCACTTGTACTATATTTTAACAATGCAACTGCCCAAGTTTCATTCCATCTTTCTAGGCAACCATATCTCTGAAAATTGTCTGCATATACCTTGATCCCTCATATCCACTGATCCAATATGTACAAACCTAAATAGCAGTACAGAATTTTGATACTTTAATCAAAACAACCTTTTTCTGGCAGTTTGTAAAGTTGTCAACTTTGCATGACTGAGGAATTGTATTCATGATCTTTCCCACATTTCACCCAATATTGGAAGATAACCATTTTTACAACTTTAACAAATTTATATTTTACATCTCTTTAAAAGCTATTAAACATTAAGCCACATTAACAAAGCATAAACCATTGCCAATATTACCAGGGAGTGGGGTTTACATCAAGGGAGAAAAGAAATTAAATTCCACACGTATTTAAATTTTATTTCAACTTAAAAAGTCAACAGCCTTGTTTAGCATGTTCTTGTTCAATTGACTCATCTCCGTCTAGGTTGCATTCTCTTATTTACATACTGGTATGTGCAGCAGACTTTTAGCAGGTCTTCAGAGGTGAACACGGAATATTTAATAAAGGAGTCTGGCCAAAATTGGCATCACTCCCAGGGTTATTACCGACTTGAGATGTGATTTTTACACCAGGCTAGTACACAATGTAGTCTTAACAGATGCACACAACCGGGGCAAGCTAACCTTTTTCATGTAATACAAAGACTTAATCAGTTATCAAAAGGATAGTGTTTGTACAGCACTCCAGCCGAAAGCAAACATTGGCCACTTTGCCCTAACAAATGCACCAATTTCAAAAGACATTTAACTGATATAATTTCCACCACTTTATTTCCACCAGCAATTTTTTTTGTAATTTTTATTAACCTTAATGGAAATGAAGAAACCATAAATTTAAACCACGTCTTAATGTAATTTAATATCTGCTGCAGAAATGCCCCACAACATGCAACTCAAGGTGACTGCAGGTTGTACTCGCTGTCATGCAGATTGCCACAAACACTCCAGACGCTCGTCCTAAAGCAGCAGTGGAAATGCACAACTCATAAAAAATATTTTTTTTACAAATTCTATGGGGGGCATAAACCATGATAAATACAATAAACTGGTGCAAGACCACAGGGGTAATTATTTGGAAAGCCTTTACCATTCACTTCTGCATTGATTTAAGGGTAAGGCATGTGTAATATTTTTGTATGGTCCGGACCCAAACTTGCTGGGTGGTGAAGTGGGGATCGTGTTATTAGTTACTTAGGAGTTGCTCTGTTGCCCTCTCCACATCCCAGCCATGTGAAGACAATGCCGCTATCACTCCGTTCTGTTGACAGGAAGGGAAAAAATGAAAATATGAACACAAATGATGGTCCTCAAAGTCAAACTATATTGAGCATTTTAAATCTTCAAGTGAGACAGCAGTAAAGTTAAAATATTGAGAGCAATGGGTAATGCGCGTGAAATGGCTCTGAAGCTTGTGCTCACCCTGTCGAAGCCCATGGCACATAAATGGTCGATTTTACGCTGATATTCTCCATTGTAGGCAGGTGCCCCGGCATACATATGCGCCCACAGTCTGGCTGTTTGCACAAACATCTCATGGTTTTCTTTGTACTGTGGTAACAAACAGAAAAGGCGGCGAGGTTAATAAAGCCAGGTGTGTCCACGTGCCCTTCTGCCCAATGCCAAATCACTTAGTACATTGTGTTTAAAATGAAGTCAGTGACCCCCCGTCTGTTATCTGCATGAGGCCTTGAAATTGTAAGCCATCTCTTACAATAATCCTCAAGCACTGTACCTGTCATGTAGCTTAAGCCTTACACATGCCCACATATGGCTGCTTGCTGGAGGTCAGGCAAAAACATTTAAAGTCTAAACATTTTTGTTACACTTGCTCATGAGCACATGGTGGGGAAAGAATACTCTGTTGGGTTTTGTAGCTGGGTCTGCAAGTGTAGAAATTATAATGACCATGCAGCCAGTTACTTGGAAATGTGTCATAAAAGCAATTGATGATGTGTATAACCACATAGCAGGGAATTTGAAACAAATCTAACCAATTGGCCAAGGCATCTGAAAATTTTAAGGGGCTACACCCAGTCTTGTACATTCAATAGTCTCAAAAGCGATGACTTCCACCATTTTGCATGTATTTATGAACACTTTCCCTGCTGGCTTTTATAGCTTGACGATTGGTTAAAAATGGTCCACCCTGTCATTGTTTACTTCGCATTTTAGCGACGCATCGGGTTTGTTAAAAGGTGGATGTAAAATGCACGCAGCGGGGGACCCGGCCTCTGCCACTTACTTGCCGCGCCACCACGGCATCCTGTGGGTCGTCGGGCTCGGCTGCAGCTAGCAGAGCCTGCAGGGAGAGTAGCACGGTCCGCAGCGTCATGGCGGCCGCCCTGTGCCCCACACACAAAAGTCTAGCATTGGCCGTGTGCACGCAAGGCATGACAGGTCGGCATGGTGGAGACACTCGGCGGTTCACAGTGGCCCAACTCGTTGGGGAGTGGCGCTGCCCTTGGCAGCTACACGTGGATGTGCGCGACACAATCTGGAATGACATCTCCTTTGACACTGACGCAAGCTGACTTAACACAAGTCAATAGCGCGCGTGGCTTTCAGAAGGAAATTAAATGCACGTGAAAAGACAAATTAAGTGTGCAATGGCACAGCAGTGTGTGCATTTAGACGTGCACTCGGTTGCAATGCTCCATGGATGCTATTCCCGGTGGCCTGTATCAGTTGACTCCCTCAAAAGGGGGTAAGGGACTGGTAGGCAAAATGGATGCGAGAATGCACTACTCTTCTACCGAATCATTACCCTCTGCATTCAGGGTCGCTGATGGCCACTGGGATCTAAATGTCACTTTACCCAGGACAGGTTCTGATGAGGCTTATTTGACTCACGCTGGAAATATGGTTGTGATTGTATATATATATTCTGTACAGATTGTCACAACCGAATGGGTATTGCATAACAACTAAAAAGCATTTGCATTCAACAAATGTTACACGTGTAAAAGAGCACAGGTTTATGACAACAAAGCATTTGGCAAAATTACGTCAATATTTAATCAAACAATAATATGTCTATACAAAGTATCATAGCTTAGAAATAAATTGATCCACCTAGCGCAGCAGCAATTTAAATGACCATGACTGCCTTTGCAGTCCATCAAGTTGACGCTTAATGATAAAACTTTAATAAGACAATAATGCATTAGAGTACGTTTTATTTATTGACATTCACAGGAACAACTGGATGTATGTGTTCACGTTTGCTGGCTAACTCACCACTGGTCTTTGAGGATGTCCAAGCAAATTGCACCAGTTACTGAACTTATGTTTGGGTGCCAAATTTTGGTGATAAAACGGACCTGCAAGTCAAAGAAAACATGATTTCACCCAATTACACGATACCAAAATAAAACTGCTCAATAGCTCTTATGAAAAGATGGCCATTGTGACACCATCTCTTTGAGTGTAACATATCAACAATGCAACGACTGAAATTTCAGCGATAAATTAGAATGTTTTTCCTAAGAAGATTGCTTCACTTGCTGTTTGCAGTCTTATAGCACATGGCAACAATGGTTGACAGTATCTTAAGGTTTATATCTTTGGAGTAGCCATGCAAACTTTTACCTTAAAGCCCTAGGACTAAAAAAGTATTTCACGAAAAATTTGGCTCAAATGAAACTCCCTATAAAATAACTCAATAGCAAAATAGTACTAAAGTACAGCGTTTCTCTTTTTGTGCAAGGAATGGCTGTATTATTCTATATTTGTTAAATATATATTCCATGGGGAAAAAAAACATTTTGAAGGACACCAATTTTTTTTGATTGATTTGTTTAGATGTGATTGTGCAATGTGCTCACTCACTTTGGGTGGATTAAATGGATACGTTTCTGGGATCTTGATTTCCAGCATATACCTTCCACCTACGATGGAATTGGGCAGATGAAAATGAGATTGGAGGTTAGGCATAACTGGATTTGTACATGAATCAAAGAGCATGGGAAAACATGAGTGTAAGTCATACCTAAAATTATATTTTTACAGTACAATGAACCAGGCACAAAAATATATTAAGCCAATATTTATCACTAGTATCATCACTACTACACACATGCATACGTTATCACCAAATGTGATTTTCGATTCCCAATGTATTTCCTTGCAAAATGTGTCTTGTTCAACAAAAGTTGGAACAAAAAACACTGACTTACACGTCATGTCTGGCATTACATCACTACTGGGAAATGCAGGCATTGCATAATAATTGTAGGGATTATAATCGCAGTATAATTTAATGTTCTTACACACATTGCAATGAGGTTCCCAAACAATATTTTAACGTCTTAATGTAATGCATTGACGTAATGTCTTTCTATTTGATGAAATATTTTATGCGCCATTTCATTGTATACCTGACAAATGCTTTACTTTAAAGCATTTCCCTAGTGTCTTGGGCTTAATACACTTCAAATATAATAAGTGATTTGCATACATTTAGTGAGCATGAATTGAAAGTCAGTTTAAAGCATGTCCCCCATGGTAAACAGTGTTGATATGGAATATAGACTTGTTATACAGTCGTGTCACATGTGGGGCAGTAGAAACATTTGGCCTCTTTACCCTCGTAGGGCGTGTCCGGGGGCCCTGCAATCTCTCCTCGCAGCTCTGTGAAATTCTCATCCACCAGCTCAACCTTTATCTGGCTCTTGTTGGTCTAGAAGACGGAATGATTGCCGACATACGCACACACACAAAAACCACATTCATAAATGACAGGGCATGACAAGCAGTAAAATATGTCCATTGCTGCCTATCTGTTTCGGAGGATGCAAAAAACCCTGAAAGACATTGCTTTCAAAGATAACAAGTACATCAGGAAGTAGATATGTTTTCCCTGGGCTAAGGTCCATTTCCTCGTGACAGCCACTTTATAAATAATTCTAAAAATCAGCTCACCTTTCCACAATGTGAGGTTGCTGTTGATTTAAGACACCTCTATTATCTAGAACACAGCGGAGGCAACATATCTCTAGGCATCAACTAAGTTTACTGCTGCCAACCTAATAAGCGCGGGCAATAAATGTGACTTAAGTTACGTACGGACACGTCAAGTGAGTGATAAAATACCTAATAGCCAAAGGAAATGCAGAGAAATAACAGCCTCTAAATATTCCCCACCTTGTCAGGTCCTGATATAAAGGAGTAACCTGAGGCGTATTGATTATAAGCATTTTATAAAATAGAACAAGAATGTGTAAATATTGAACACCTAATGCTTGAAAAACAAATAGTGGTTGATAATGCTCACTTAAATATAATAACTTAGGCAGGAGGAAAACCTGGGCTGGGTCGAATTAAAAGTTCATGTTTTAACCCATGGCTCAGCGTGATGGCTTGCCAGTAATTAAAAACAACAATACACCCATAGTAGTTTTTTTGCGCTAGATCGCGTATCTATGTCGTTAAAACCCACCACCACCCAACACAGCCAACTAGTAAGGGTTGTCACGTAAACAGAACATGACAAATCGACACATTTACGCGATCTAACCCAAAAAAACTATTTTGGATATTGGTCGCGAAAGCCTACGTGTGAAACTAACATAGATACACGAGCATCCCCCACCCTCCGCTTAGAGTTTAAGTCCCCCACTTTAAATGTAAGCATGATAAATGCACGAAATATATTAACTTTCAGAATGGACGGCCAAGGCTCAGTTCCCCAATTCAAGTGTTATGGGATAATCCCGGTCCTAAATATTAGGGTTGGGAGTCACGAAGTTAATATTCTAACTGCTGACTGCTGTTTAGGTTACATGTTAAGGTTCTAAATTCCAGGATTCAGACCACTGGGTTTAAGTCTCACACCACGGTTTAGATAGAAGTCTGATGTCAACCAGCAGACTTAAAAGGGATAAAGTCACAAGCCTCAGATCCCTAACCCAGGGTTCACGTCTCAATGTCTAGGTAAAAAAACATTAGTTTTTTTTGGTTAGTGTTCATATCCAAAGGCACAATAATATTATTTCCAAGGGCATAGTTTCCATGACTTGGGTCCCATCGTTCATCAAATCCCAAAGGTCATGTCCCCAATGTGAGGGTTCGGGACAAGCTAATGTTTCCAACGCCACGATTCGGTATCCAGGGTTTACATCTCTAACCCTAGGATTTAGGACTCAGGCTTAGGTCCAAGGTTTAGGCCCCGATGTTCAAGTAAAAATCCCAAGGGTTTAGGACCCGGGGTTATGCCCCAGGTTTCATGCCTCATAACCAACGCTCATACCCCAGGTTTATGCCATAAGAGGTCGGGTCCCAACACCCAGGTTTTGTCCCAAAATAATATCGGCCAGTGCCCATTTCATTCACCAGTTGTACAATGACCTACGGAGTGTCCAAACATGCGAGTGCCGTACGATTGCGGCAAACGCGCAACTTTTTTTCCCCCCTCTTTCTAAAATGCCCGACTTCGCCTACCACCTGTCCAAAGATCATTCTCCCAGCGCAAAGTTTAAACACCGTCGCAGCAAAAAAACAGCCACCGGCGCCGCCTCCTCCTCCTGTGAAGCTTGCCGGCCATGGTTGGTGTAAAACGTCTCCGGGGATAGACAGGCGGGGCAAAACGAGCGAGCGGTGCTTTTGCGGCTCGTTATCCCCTTGTATGCGACACGGGATTTCTCCGGACACTCTGCGCTCTCTTCACACGACACTCACTGAACACGCAAATGGCCCCGTCACCCCAACGCAGGGGCGTTGCGGTAGAAACATTCGGCCTGGGACCAAGTACGTACCGTACTTGGCTGATGCAGTATACTCGATCAATATAATTAATTTTACATAAACGCCAAACCCAACCCCCGTAGCTCGAACAACCCCGAAGAGTGGGCCTGAGGCCTCGGGCTTGGCTAGAATTCCCACGGGGTGGAGAGGCGCCTCCCCCCGGCCCGTCCCGCCAGCCCGACGCCTTGACACCGCGGAGGCCCGGCGAATATTTGTTTTTTTGGCGCGGCTTGTCGGCCGGCGGGGTCTCACCTCCTCGCTCTTGAGCACCTCTTTGAATTCGCGCTTTATCCTCGCCACGGCGATGTTCGCCATTCTGACGAGCGAGGATCCCAACTTCTGTCACTGCCGCCGCCGCCGCCGCTCAGCGCGACCCGGGGCAAAATGGCGCGGCGGCGCGAGTGCGCATGCGCGTGAAAGCCCCCCCCCAACCCCCCCCGCGCAACCCCCCCCCGCGCAACCCCCCCCCACGCGCAACCCCCCACGCCTCTTCACCCCGCCCCTCGCCTCCCCTGCCCCCACCCCCCAACGCCCTCTTAACCCCGCCCCCACACCGGAGTGGGGGGGGGTGCGCCCTCACGTGACGCGAAGACGTCACCTGACAACAAGGGCTCGTCGGGCCAGATTCAAGGCAGCAAAGCAATCGGCGGTGTCTGGCCCCTTAACGTCACCCGGGAATTCCCCCCTTAGCCATCGTTGCGATTCTGATGGCCACTCTGAGCGAGACGTTCTGTTTTAAAGTGCAAGCAACCCCCAGGCTTTCATACATGGGGGGTGGGGGGGGCTGGCGGTGAGATGTTTACTACCTCGCATGGTATGCAGGAGGTTCATGGGTCCGATTCTAACCCTGACTCCTGCTGTCTAGTTGGAGTTTGCGTGTCTCTCTCCCTTATGGTCGCGTGGATTTTTCTCCGAGTCCTCCGGGTTTTCCCTCCACGTTTAGAATTTGTGACCGAGTCACTTCTGAAGAAGAGCTGTAGAACTTGACTTAAAGCTTTCGTGACTGCAGGAATACATATTCTATGGGTCTTTCGGTAAAGCCACGTAGATAGAAAAATGCTGATAAAAATATCACGACGTTTAGATCGCAACACAAACAATCGTCTTCAGATGAGAGCTATAGGACTCATAGGGCCTTACCTGGTACATTTAGAAGAAGAAAAAAGAAGTTTAGTTCGCCAATTTCCCCTTAACTGACGTTGCATTTCTAATGGAAACAAAGCGAGATGTTCTGTTTGAGCGCAATTAAACCCAGGCTTTCATACATGGGTGCTGGCCGGCGCTCGGGGTGTGAGCCGTGGAGGTTAGCGATGCGAATCAAGGAATTATTGAGATCAGGGGACATGGACCATGGGCCCTGGCTAACATGTGGGGCATGAACCATGGGGGAAAATATTTCACGCCAACCCTGGGACACGAATACGATAGGACCTCTAACATGAGCCATGGGAATTGGAGATGTGAACCCCAAGACAATGGGACATGGGAGCCTAAGCCAAGAACAATAGCACATAAAGGATTGGCATCTTAAGACACGAAACCTTGCAAGAAGGTACACAAGTCCTGATATTTCGGACTTGACCAAATAACCGACTGTTAAGCATGTTGAGACTGGATAGCGAGATGCATTGAGTAGGTGTTATAGGCCACTGCGGGTACACATTGTGGGCAGCAGAGGGCAGTGTAGGAAACAATATTATCGTACCTCACTTATATACTGTACTAAACTTATACTGGTGGGAACCTCTGGTTACACCAACCCACAGGGGATTATTGTGACCGTCCGTCGTGCATCCAAAAATGGGAGGGGTGGGGCTGGGTGGGGAGGGGAGGGTGGGGAGGGGCTGGTTGGGGGTGGTAGAGGTGGGGCTGGGTGGGGAGGGGCTGGTCACCCCGTGGTGCCCTTATAAAACTCAACGTTTAACCTACTCACGCCGGCTTGTGCCCGCCCTCACAGTCGGGCATATTTGCGGAATACACCACGTGGTGCCGCCGTTGACCCTGGACATTGACCGAGCAACCCAACGTTCCTACCAGCTCCCTCCGCAGGAATGTGTTATACTCACTGGTTTACACTTGTCTGCCTCCACCAACCCGCCACAACCAGCTTGATGAAGTATGGTTAAATAGCCTCCGAGGCCCTCATCCAGCAGTGGATTGCCAATGGATGTATATTTTAAACTAGAACAATCATAACTGAGACATGCACTTGGATCTTAAAAGTGAATCCCTTTACAATGAAACCTATCCCCTCGAACATGAACCATCCAAATCTCAGCGACTTGGGCCTTAAAATCCTGGGCTCTGGCCTCTTAGCAGGGTAAAATACCAACAAAATATTCAACTCTGCAACACCAATTCATCTCCCGGCATAAGTCAACTTACTACACTTGGTCCAGATTTGTGATAAAAAATACAGTCAAACTAAAATAAACACAAACCCATTTGCTGTCAATAAAAGTAGAGAATGAACCATGAAGGAAACGTATACTTTTAAGATAGAGCTGGGCTATCTTATTATTTCACCACTGCATTCAATGACGCTGGCGATTATCGGTTTGATTATTTGATTAATCAGATACCACCGAAAAGTCTCACTTCTAGTTTCACGTGTGTCACTGGATGGAAGGTGATGGGTAATCGATCACAAGAAAAAATAGTCTACAGTATTACAATTTTTAGTCGATTAATCAACCTAAGCTGTTAGAAATAACAGCAGCAGCATGTGAATTAGCACTAACATTCCTCATTACACAGAGGTGGGTCAGATCGCCTGAGATACTATAATCAATCCGCCCTCCCGTACAATTATTTGTAAACATGTAATTGACCCTGGTACATCGTGTACCCGAATTAACCATCAACCGTGAGCTATCCACTGCTGGATGAAATCTTCCCGCAAGCCGTCAAACGCAAAGGTGACCTCTCGGGCTTTTTCCCCACTTTGGCTATCAGTCCGTCATTTGCCTCGACCATGGGCCATAATCTACTGTGTCTTGCGCAAGCCCACACACGCATTTCTTCACAGTCAAAACGATGTCTCTATCGTTTTTTTGTCGAATCTGCAAACTGTACACAATATGAAACACTTTGGAGAGTTGCATGATGTGAAAAAAAACATTCGCACTACTAAGACATATTACTCCTCTACGCAAGTATTACTAAATAAAATAAATGTATATACTTTTATGAATGCACTTCTGCATGAAAGTATCTCCATGTGCTGTGTCGGTGTTGGGGGTTGCTTGACTATACTTCACCAAGCTGGTCAGTACGGGGTGAGCCAGGACCGGTTCAGGTATCACTCGCCACTTAGGTTAGCCGTGGTCGTGAAACAAACTCTGGGTCGCTAAGTTCATTGTGCAATGCACTCGCCACTGCGAAACTGCTGCACCGCATGACTAAGTAGAATCACCTCCAGGACTATCTAAATGGAGGCTGTCTTCTGACAATAACCAGCATAGCTACAGGCAATGTAATAATACATAGGAAACAAGGGGCATTATGTATTTCAGTAAATCATAGATGAATTGGTCGTAAAGTTAAAGTTAAGCCAATTCATTATCCCTAATAACACGTACAAAGAACTGAAGCCCATGTATAATTTAAACACCGTGCAAAATTAATGCGTGCTAGCTGGCTAATGTAAGTCTCAGTGATACTTAAAAATAATTTCAGGTCACAAGCCATAACATGTGACGTCAAAACAACAGCTAACTTTAAGAGTGAGTGTGAGCCATTCTGGAGGTGTCAATTCCCTTTTAAAAATAGCTCTCAGGCTTCCATTTTAGGTTCATTTGGACTGCAATAACAGTCAATGTAGCAGTCGGCTAAACAGAAAAGTTGCAGATCTGTCGTGATCCCAGCAGAAGCAGCACTGAGAGACTGCGAAGGGATCATCTTTTGACCCACGACCCTAACCCGTGACCCCATGACCCATTTCATAGTTCCATTTATTTGGTATAGCCCTGTGAGCCATTCGGCTCTTGAATCGGGTGCAACCGCAACAAACAAAAAACAAAAACATGAACAAGAAAAACATCTTAAAGTGACTTTGTGTGACTGTGCAAACAGAAAATCCAGGAAAAAAACATCAAAATATTCTTGAAATAGCACCGTACACCAACGCTGTGTGCAAAAATCCCAGTGGGATGCAAGTCAAACAATAACAACCACAAGACAACTTAGATTAAACCCAACACAGATCCCACAACAACCACGCTTCATCTTACCCGCAAACCGATCCTACCCGCCTTTGTTTAGACTCGCAACGCAACCATAACCTGCACGTTTAAAAAAATCTCCCCAATAATATCCATATTTGTTTGTATGCAATAAGATTATAGCAGTGTTAAAGCACAGTGTTAAAGCACTGTATTACCTAATTACTAATAATTTTTGTTTATCACACACGGCAGACATCTGCGTAATAGTCCGTACTACATAGTGCCTGTTACAAAACAATCAGTGTAAATATTTGTTTTAAAAATGAATATTACAGTGCCTGTTTTATGTTGCTCCTGTCAAATTCCGATTCACACATCACTGTAATGACCTTCACGTATATAAACCCCGCTCTATCATGTATTTGACCTCCATCATTTAGTAAACATATATTTATAAACAAAAAGTTCGGAACAATTCAGCGTCCCAACCCCAAGCCTCCTTCTCGACTCGACCGCGTGTTCGCCTCTGCTCGGGACCCACGCTAGAGGTCACCCGCGGATGACCCGTGATGAACAGGGTGCCACGGTGGCGAGATGTTAACTACCTCGCCTAGTATACAGGGTGTTGTGGGTTCGATCCCGAGGCTGACGCCTGTATATTTGGAGTTTGCACGTCACTCTCCCTGTCATCGCCTGGATTTTTCTTTGGGTCCTCTGGTTTTTCTCCCCCACATGTAGAAACGTGCGTTTAGAGTTGAGAGGCCGCTATACATTTCTACGTGATAAGCCACTTCGTTGAGCTATCATTTGTGGCCCGGTCGCTTTTGGACACTCGTGCGCTCTTCACGCAAGAAGAAGAGTGCACAAGTGTTGTTATCACATCTACGCCTCTATTTAAGGAACGAAACAGACTTCTCCACAAATCTGGCTGTCGCCTGATGAAGCTAGTTGTAATTACATACTCAGATTGTAAATGTTGTGGCTTGGCTCTGCAACACAGCGGTGTGCTGTATTAGTAACGAATTGCCATGTTCTGTTGACGTGACAAACGCTAATAATTAATTGGCTGTGTCGGATGCTGGCGGGTTTAACGACACATTTATATTTCGATTTAAAGCTTTCGTGACTGCAAGGATTCATCTTCTTTGGTTCTTTCGGTAAAGTCACGTAGAATGAGAATAAAATAATAAATTGATAAAATAAAATAACACAATAATATTCTCACGACGTTTCGGCCACAACACAAGCGGCCTTCATCAGGTGAAGGGACGAGACTGTCTGGTAGGACAGCGCTGGAGCGAAAAAGCCACGCTCAGATCACGACCTTTAAGCTGTGTGAGAAGAAACAAAGCGCCTTAGAGTCGCGGCATCTCTTCAGAAAGGTGAGAGACTCGATCAGTTGAGCCTTCTTATCCCGGAGTCTGTTGAATGATCTTAAGGTTGTGTGGAATCCCTCCCCGTAGAGGCGGTTAAATTTCGATTCAAAGCTTTCGTGACTGCAAGGATTCATCTTCTTTGGTTCTTTCGGTAAAGTCACGTAGAATGAGAATAAAATAATAAATTGATAAAATAAAATAACACAATAATATTCTCACAACGTTTCGGCCACAACACAAGCGGCACATTTATATATTTACACGATCTAACCCAACAGACCTATATTATGGATCTATAGAAGACAAAGATCCCCCGTATAGCCTGTAACATACGCTAGGGTCAAGTGCTTTTAGAGAGCACTTATAAAGGCCGGCACGGCACACGAGGGGGTGGGTGGCGAACTCTACACCGGGCCACCTTTGTCTCCTCGCGGCGATGTTTACACACCGCACCAGGTACTCATTTGACGCTAAGTCGACCTAGGGGAGGCCCAGGACCGGTTTAGATAATCGTCACTGGGTTTTGGCCGTGAGCGGGAATAGAACCCGGGTCGCCAGGTTTGTAGCGCAGCGCGCTAACCGCTACACTACCACACAACAACAACCGCCATTCGCCACTAAGTGGCGGTGATGTCATCACGACACTTGTGCCAGGCCATGTGCACCTTGAGGCCACGTGAAGTGTCGAACGCCCGCTGGCAGGAGGTCACGGGGCAGACCCAAGTGCCACGGGTCGACTGACTAAGATGACTAAGATGACTGAGATGACTGGCTGATGCACCACCTGTGCCCCCTACTGTGCCAACCTGCTGTGCTTTAGCCACCTGGCCCTCCGCTCGTTGTTGTGAGCGTCGCTCCTCCGCCCTCCGTTGTTGTTGGAGGGCGACTGCCTCCAACTGCCCAGTAGCATCCTTCACGAGCCTCCTCCACAGAGGCCGATCTTGACACCGCTGGTACCAGTCATCGGCAAGTCCAATCAGCTCCACTTCCTCCTGTACCACATCACTCCACCTCTTCTCTAGCCCATGCCATGCCCGTTTAGCCCCCTCGATCCGGCCGAACAAAAGCTGTTTCGGCATGCGGTGACTGGGCATGCGGGCTACATGACACAGCCAACGCAGCCTTGCCTGCCTGCCGGAGGAGCTCACTGATGGGACCTTGCCCAGATCTTTCAAGGATTTGTGAGCTCCTCACACAATCCAGCCTGGTTAAACCAAGGATGGATCGTAGGCAGGCTAGCCTAAATGTTTCTAACCGGCAAAGATGTTCCATTAGGGGGGTGCACGTTTCGCAAGCGTAGAGAAGGGAGGGAATGACCGTGGTTGAGAAGACCTGAAGCTTAGTGCGGAGCGACAGACCAGGTAGCTTCCACACAGCATTACGCAACCGATGAAAAGATATTGCCGCTCGACTTATTCAGAGTGAGACCTCTGCTGTTAAACTGCAGCTGGTCATAAGCACACTGCCCAGGTATGGGAAACTCTCCACTCTCTCCACAACTGCCCCATCACTGATTGGGAGTTGTGGACGTGGAGTGTCCGATGGTACAAAATATCCAGGCAGGTGCTTAGTTTTGGTGGGGCTGATGGAAAGGCCCCATCTCTTAGTGGCACGCTCCAGTCTCAGCAGCAGCGTCTCCAACTCCTCCTCTGAATGAGCAGCTATTACCAAATCATCGGCATACATAACGTGGTTGAGCAATAGGGAGCCATCCCTTGACCGCACCCGGGCATCGATCAGCCTCCCATTATTTCTGTGTAGTGTTCGATTTCACTCGGACAACTTCTGTCTTTCTTCGAACACCGCTTTATTTACAACTCTCAGCATGTCCTCCACATTCCACAAAATCCAGGTCGCCACGGCTCGCTCGCCGTGCTTCACTCGACTCGCTCGCCACCTTTGTCTCTCCACTCCCCACGATTACTTCTCTTGCTCCGCACTCAGCGACTCCGCACTCAGCAACTCCGCACACAGCGTCTTCGCACACAGCGACTTCGCACACAGCGTCTTCAGCTCCGCTATCACTACACTCTCTCCACTACTGGCTATTCTCGTCTCCAGCTCCGCTATCGCTATGCTCTCTCCACTGCTAACTACTTCTCTTCTTCAGCTCCGCTATTGTTACGCTCTCCCTACTGCTAGCTGCTCTCTTCTTCAGCTCCGCTATCGTTACGCTCTCTCCACTGCTAGCTGCTCTCTTCTTCAGCTCCGCTATCGTTATGCTCTCTCTACTGCTAGCTGCTTCTCTTCTTCAGCTTCACTCCACACTGTTTCCAAACTCTGTCTCCAACTCTGTCTCCAAACTCTGTTTCCAATTCTGTCTCCAAACTCTGTTTCCAATTCTGTCTCCAAACTCTGTCCCCCACTCTGTCTCCAAACTCTCCTCCAAACTCCACGTCTTGCCTCGTCCAGCTCCCAACTCCAACTCCCGCTCCAATTTCCGACCCCCCAATTTATCCCCGCTCTCATTACGCCACAATTAATTAGTCCGCGTCCCAACAGCACCCCGCGTGATCCGTACACCTGTTTCTCGCCAGACTTCAAGACGCCTCTCCAGCCCCGGCAACAGCCCCAACCAATCACAGCCGTCCTTGACTCTCCCAGCTTAATTGCCCCAACGTAACCTGCACTGTATTTGCCTTCGTTACAGGCTGACCCAACATAACCCGCACTGTCTCTGTTTCCATGCAATACGCACCTTTCTACTCCACTACATCTGTAATGGAGATTCCCCCGGTACAGCTATTGAAGGCTTCACGAAATACGTGGTCAAAATAGATGTTAAATAATGCGGGAGCCAGAGGACATCCCTGTCGCACCCCAAGGTGTACAGGAAATGGCTCTGACTCCCGGCCACGTAGTTTTACCCGGGCCCGCTCACCATCATGAAGGTCCTTAATGATCGTGAGCAGAGGGTCAGGGACTCCAAAAGCACGAAGAACAACCCAGAGCCCAGGCCTACTGATGGTATCATAGGCCTTGACCAGGTCAATAAAGCAGAGATGTAGGTCTTGTTGGAATTCCCTACACCTCTGCTGTAGCAGTTGGACAGAAAATATGTCATCTGTGCAGGACCGCCCTTTCCTGAAACCGCATTGGGGCTCCGCAAGCCTCTCCTCAGCGTGTCTGGAAAGGCGATGTTGAATAATCCTTGCCAGGAACTTTCCCGGCACACTGAGGAGTGAGATGCCCCTGTAGTTGTGACAGTCTGTGTGGTCCCCCTTCTTAAAGAGGGGGACCACCAACGCATCCTTCCAATCCTGTGGTCCAGACTGTCGTTATAATGTCATATAGGGCAGTCTGTGTACAAACGCCACCCTCCTTCAGCATTTCGCTTGGGAGATCATCTCTGCCAGGTGCCTTTCCTGGTCTCAGACTCCGGATCGCCTTCACTACTTCAACAGATGGCACCTCAGCCAGCCACTCACAGGGGTGACTTCTTCCAATATTTGAGGCACCGCAGCCTCAGCAGGGTCATCCCCACTTTGTGCCATGATGTTTTCCTGGCTGAGGGGTTTCCCCTCCCCCAGGACCTCACAGAAATGCTCAGCAAATCGGCAAACCTGTTCCTGGGGGTCGGAGATTGGAACACCGTTTTCCCCCTGATGATGGTAATAGGTGTGGCGCTGCAGGTTACTTTTTTGATGGAGTTAAATAGAGATTTGTGATCGCGGGCCACTGAAGCAGACTCCATCTCCTCAGCAACCCGTGACCACCACCCATCCTTGCAGCGCCTCACGGCTCTCCGAACCTCCGAGCGAAGGCTGCGGTAAGCCTCCTCATTCTCTGACGTGGGATTCTGTAGCCGATGACAGTGGGCCTGTCGCTTTTTCTCAACTATTCTGAACACCTCCTCTGTCAGCCAGGGTCTCTGAGGAGGTCTGGACTGAGTACCCAAAGCAGCCATTGCAGCTGCACGAGTCACAGTCCTAAACCTCACCCATTTACCCTCGACATCAGGAGGAGTGGGGGACGATGCCAACCCCAGCCGCAAGCGATGATGAAATTCTCGCTTGCAACTTTCATCAGCTGAGACCAGGCCACTTTAGGTTGGAATGGGGTCCTGGGTGTACACCCACCACCGGAGTGGAAAAATGGCAGGCGCATCTTACAGATGACTAGTCGCTGGTCAGAGGGCAGATCAGCTCCACGGTAGGTCCTGGTGTCAAGGACATGGGCTCACAACACACCACGCAAGATTTGATTTTTTTCATTTATTAAAGTATTCTCAATATTCTCATCTTAAGATCAGCACCTGAGGCTCAGGTACACATTGCTGAGTGCTACCATCTGGGCAATAAATATGCAATTACGAGTTGTTACAGATCTCAATTTCATTGAGCTTTGCCCAAAACGTTAGTCTAATATGTCCCAATTTTAAGGCAATGTAATTTAGGAAAGTATGTTTATTCATTGTCCTTATGCAAATAATTGACATTCGCGACATTGGTTCAGTTTAACATGGCAAGATAAATTATGTTTTATCTCTCCATCCATAACCACACCTTCATATTTATAAGGAAAGCATATTTGTATCAATCGTTACTGATAAGAAAAAACAGGAAAAACGTTGTCAGTCATGAAACAATAAAAAGGCAAATAGTCTAAATTGAGTACAGTATTACTATCATTGATAGTATTGGATGTGTTTTTTTAATTTAAACTATTGCATAAAAATTACATTGGGATAAAAAAAATCCAAACATAACTGGAACACACACGTGTATGTGGCTTGATTACATTCAAGACACCTGTGTGCGGACACCACACATCACAACTAAGCAGAAGTTTGTTTTAAAACGCAAATAAAGTGCACACGTACGACTGTGTTTACAACTCCACCACCACCACCACCACGAAACGGTGATCTAAGCGCATTCTTCATTGACTGCAACGCATTCCAATGCAACAACGTGCAGCGTGAGTGCAATTATTGTGACTTGCTGCGTCACTAGATGGGGGGGGATATACACGATCTAGGATTCCCCTTTTTCCCGTTTTGGCAGTGCTGTGGAAGGCAAGCATTTACGGGCAGCGGATTCACGCCAGCCAAACACGCGCTGCAATGAGCTCTGCAATTGCACAGATTTCAGTGTGCAGTACAGACGAAAAACATTGTCCCTCAAGGTTATTATTGTGCTCAAGGGCAGCAATGGTTAATTGTATGATGTGTAAAATATGGCTTGTTTGCAAATCAAGTGCAATTGTTATCATAGTGAATTAAGGGAAACCAGAATATTGCTTTTTGGGAACTGGCAACAATTTGCCATTCAAACGTAGCCCTGTGTAGCTAAAATGCATTGTTTCCCCATTTAAAACCGCTATCAATATTTCCTGTTTGTAAACAAACCTTAGCATACGTACATTAAAAAAAAACTCCGGCTTAGTTTCTTTCGGAGTGGCCGACATTTTTTGTTGTTGCATAGTGCATTAAACATCGCCAGCATTTTGGACAGTGGCATCATTGACAATCTACAGTGGAAATCCCTTTTCCGTCTTCAATCGGCATCCCATTGGCTCTGGTGTTGAACCGACAACGCTGGCATTTTTAGTGAGTTTGGGCACTCTCATCTTGAAGAGCAGATATTCCCCTGCGTCTCCTGCACATGATCTCATCACACCAAAGGACGCTGGGATGGAACAGAAACAAACACGAACCACATTAGAGCAAGGCGGCGATGGCCAACAGAGAGGTTACAAAACCCAGCGCGCTTGAGCCACGCTGATTTGCAATGACATTGCAGAATAAAGCTTTGTATGTATGGTGCACTTCTTTGGCACCGTACGTAGCCAACCGTACCAAATCAGGGGTGCGGAGGAAGGACATCAAATTAAACACAAAAAGCAGTTCTAAAGAAATGCGTTTCCAATCTAAATTTTAAAGTGCATAGCGCTCCAGGGGCATCATAATATCGGAAGAAAGAGCGTTCCAAGCGGCTGCAGAAGCGCATCTGAAAGCGTGCGATGCAGTAACCGTCTTTGTTTGATTGGTGAGACAAAGGCTGCTGCGAGGATGACCAGAGTTTGCGTGATGGTTTATGCTCCTTGATGAGATCATCAAGGTAGTGTGGTTGACTTGTGGCAACAGCGCAGTGCAAAACTGCTGACCCCAGCTCAGTTAATCCAGCTGCAGGTCCATGCATTCCCACTGGCCTCTGTTAACCTGGCAGAGTTCGTCAATAGCTACATAAGTTAATTAACGTGCAGCAATGCCCATCCGTTATATAGCGTGTTGAACACGTGGCCATGAGATGGCAGTATAGCGAATGGGTTCACAAAATTACCCTCCCACCTCTCATGCAAGCCACGACTGGATGAAGGCCTGGCCACGTTGGGTCAGTCATGGTGGTAGTCTGACCAAATTTCACAGTTCTGGTCAATGTCAGAAAAGTTAATTTTACTTGATTTTCATCTCCAATTGCCCCTGTATATGAAATAGATTCTTTTAAAATAACTCTGCCAAACATCTCAATGCGGGAGCCTATTGTAAAAGTGCCAGGAGACTTGCTGGATTGATAAATAAATGTTAGCAATAGAACCGTAATGGGAATTTTGACCCTTCAGGAGGGGGGGGGGTGCAGTTCTTAAATCGTACAGATGGAGTTGCTCCAGTTTGTACAGCTCACCAAGACGACTGAACACCCTGGCACCTGCTCCGACTTTAACGGTTATCCTAGAGCATTGGTTCTTAACCTGGAGTGCACGCACGCCCTGGGGGGTGCGAGATGCCCTTTCTGGGGGTGCGAGACATGCCAGATTTCTTTACACGTGCCCGTGCTTAATTTGTGTTCTCGACGATTTACCGTCTAAAGAAATCTGGCATGTCTCGCACCCCCAGGGCGTGCGAGACATGCCAGATTTCTTTAGACGGTAAATCATCGAGAACACAAATTAAGCACGGGCACGTAAGTACAACAACTACTTTGTTCCATCAAACCGATGTATTTGTTAACATTCTACATTTTTTAACGGCTGAGAACCAAAGGGGTGCAAGGCTGCAATCAAGGTTAAGAACCACCTGTCCTCGAGCATTAACTGCACCGGTGTTGTCTCATCTTATTTCACCCACAACACGTGGGAGAAAAAAAACCCCCCGTGTCTAACTGGACAGAACCCTGCGGAAGAGCAGTCTTGGAGACGTGGCGAAACCTTCACGAAAGCGATACAAATTGTGTTTGTTTTCAATGAAAGCACCTCAAGATCAAAAACGGGATGACTGCAACGGCAGACGAGAGGAGGAAAACCAAGCAGGCAAACCATCCCACGGTGACGGCGTAGACATTGTTGAACACCACCGATCCCACAATGCCAGCCAGCAACTCCAAGGATCCCACCAACGAGAAGAGGGTTCCTGCAGAGGCACGACGAAATCGAACGTGCCAACACCGCAAAAGTAACGCGACAGCAAACACGGCAACCATCGTCGTGTGGAATACGACCACGGCCGCCGTGATGTTCTCATATGATGCGGTGTGTACGATGCAACTTGGGGAAGTGGTGGTGTAGTGGTTAGCACACTGTGCTGTGAAGCCGGTCATGGCTAACATCAGTGGCGAGTGATATCTGGAACTGTTCCTGTGCGCCCACCTTTCACCAAACTGCGTGGACCAGCGTGGTGAAGTATCATAAATTAACCCCACCACTACCACCACAACGTAGAGCGGCCCTCATCCCACAGTAGATTGTGTAAGGGCTGCAAATGATAATAGGAATTATTATTGCCGTAATTTATCGTTGTCTACACCCTTAAGTTGTACTCAGATTAACGGCGGTGGTCCTCTTGGGATATGCAAGTCTAATGTGCATTTGTGCACGTAAATTGTATGGAAAATCTGCTGCGGTGTTTGCAAACGACGCACTCCCACCATACCTTGCTCGCTTGGCAAAACGGTCTTGGACATCATAGATCTCATTACTGCGACGGGCATGATGGTAAACATCAGGGGTAGGCGCACTGCACATTAAATCCGGCAAACAGGAAGAGAGAGAGGCTTCTTAGTTTAACATGTAGGCTTAACAACACACATTCATGCAATCTAACCCCTCCCCACAAAAAAAAAACATTATGGAGAGGCTTCTTAGTTTACGTATTTCTCAGCGCTGTTATTTTTTTTTACCGAGAAAGTCCACTTTTGCTGCAGGTTCCAAACATAACAATGCTATCCATGAATATAATTTAGCTTTATATTGCTGGGAAGAGCGACCAGCGTGCGTTAAATGTGTTATATGGGTGGCTGCAGGGCTACGTCGCTGGGCAACGGAAGGCATTTCAGCAAAATCCATCGTTGTACTGTACTGCTCTCCCGTGACTGCGCTCCCCTACCATCGCCAAGCCACACCGACCCAAATGGCATGGGAGGGTTCATATTCAGCGGCGAGATTGATGATAGGGCTGTACATATACATTATGCATTTCTTGCACTGACATTGATCCGCAGTAAATTTATGACTGCTCCAAAGTCCCACCGCAAGAAACAAAGGAATGAGTCACGCAACGTCAACTGAAGTGCAGCGGCCCTCCCCGCAAAAGAAGGTGCCAGGGTTAAAGGGGATTATTAAATAATGGGAGAGGGGGGAGATTATGGGAGTCAAGAGAGGCGCATCGAGGGGCAGATGAAGTTTGATGGGGGGGGGGGGGTGGGGGGCTCGGTGCTGTCGTGGTTTTGGGGGGTACATCTTTGTATTTTCAGTTCCTTCCCTTAACCGTGAATCACCACCCATGCCAGATGGCGAACGCTCTCCGTTGTCATTCACCCGTGGTTATTTCAGTTCGAGTTTTAATACGTGACGTAGAAATTGTAAAGCCAGATCGGAGTTTAAAATTCAACAAAACAATTTTAATTGCACTACAGAAGCTATCATTGTGTTACAGTATTGCATTTGAAACTTTAAAAAGAAGTACTACTACTATATATTCTTGGTTCTTTCAGTAAAGTCACGTAGAAGGGAAACAATAAATAATACAAATATAAAACAATAAAATTCTCACGACGTTTCGACTGCAACACAAGCAATCATCATCAGGTGTGAAAACCACAGCAAGAACATTTGAAAAAAGTGGAGTTTTTTAAAAAAATTGCTGTGGTTTTCACACCTGATGATGACAGAGTTATTGAATGAATGTGCTTTTATTATGTGTGTATTTGCTTTTGCACAACTACTAAACGTAGTATCACAAAACATGTTTATTGAAGGCTGCACAGACATATATTATTTTATCAGCCCATAAAAATCCCAAGGCCCAGAGCCACCGGCCAGAAATCCCCCTGCGTGAATCCGGCCCCGAGCCGGCGCGTACCGAGAAACATCATGAGCGTGGTTTGCACGCCGCAGATCATCGCCATCCCTACGGTGAACGTGGAGATGCCAATGAGGGCGATGGGCGGGTCGGAGAGGCAACGCGAGAGGACCGTCACGCCCACGAAGCTCGTGATGAAGATGGCGAAGCCCACCGCCGAGCCGTAGCCCAGCAGCAACGCGTCCCAGCACAGAGGCGCCTTCATCTCGAACAGAGACACCGGCAAGGAGCCGCCTATCTCCGCCAGGAGGTAGAAGGTGAAGGCCACGAGCAGCAGCGCGAGACGCCACCGCTTGCTGCCCGGGCCGCCGCTGCTGCGAACCCCACTGTCCACCTCTGTGGAAGGGCAACCGGGGTTCGGAAAAAGATCGCGCGCGGATTTATGCGGCGCTTTTCCAACGTGGGGGTGTTTTGTTCTCCTGCCCACAGGCGCAACCAGTCATGCATCCACTGCTCAACTTGGGTGCAGGGTTTAATTCGGGTGATGTGCAATCGATCGTGCGTTTCTTTTCAAGTCAATACGTTACCACAAAACAGGTTGCTGAAGCTCTTGTAGTTTTGCTTCAGAAGCTTTGTGAGGACGTTCCTCTTCTTGCGCGCCTCCGCTGGAATGCGCATTCTGATCTCCGCTGCGCTGTCGCATGTCGCGATGGAGTCATCTTGTCCGTCCTCGGCCGGAATCAGAGACTCCACCTGGTGGTCAACGAAACACGGTGAGGGCTCATGGCACAGCCACAAAGACAAATATCCCCCTCCATAGCCTTAAACAGACTGTTGGGGCAAGTGCTGCTAGCGAGCACCTATGAAGGCCGGCACGGCGCACGAGGGGGTGGCCAACACCAAGCGCCGTGGTTGGACAAACGGCACGGTGGTGGTCGCGCGGAGCGGTGTAGTGCACGAGCGTACGTGAATATCCTTCGTTATAGTCTCCTCGAGGACGCACGCCACGTAGATGATACAGAGCACCAGGATAAGGCACACGCACAGGTACACGAATGCGTAGCCCATGGCCTGGAGCATGTGGCCTGAGATGACGGCACCAATGCCACCACTGATCCCTGCGTTACAGACAGATGGGGACGACAGAGGAATAAAATCGGCACTGTCTTTTTTGACGGACCGGTCCCATCTGCCACGGTCTCGTGATGCAACAATCGATCGAGCCCCAACATGAAAGCCAATCTCATCGTTACAATTTGACGATGGGCGTCCACTCCTGGGCATGTTCCCCTCCTATGACTGCCACTCCGTGACCATCGGCCATCATCACTTCCTTGTAAAATGTCCTGCCCAAGCCAATGAACCTTTCCTCACAGTCGACATGATGTCTCTCGTGTGTCCATGCACCTCTGATTCATGTGGACACTGGAGATAAACGGGAGCAACACAAAAATCACTTACAACAAGTTTGCAAAACCACTGAAGATACCCATTGGAGGAACACAACTTAGTAACAGAAGGCAAAATCGGGATACAAAATTATGAAATAAAGAGTCGAGCAAGAGTAGGATGGCATGCATTTGGAGAACTCAAAAATAAAAAAAATGTACAAAGATAAATAAGATCAATCTTGACTTACTAAAGAAGACTGTTTTGAACCATTGCCTCCCTGTGACACGTGGATCACAAACAAAGTCACGACGATGAAGAGAACGGAGCAAAAAGCTCGCAAGGCTTGCCAAGAAGCAAAGTCCCATGAGCACATAACAATTCCACGCGACACTTTCCAGTGCTCCCTTGTGGGGGTGGAAAGGTGGGCAATCTCCGAGGCTGGCTACGTACGGTGCGAAATAATTTCAACATACGTACATCGCGGCATACACACACACACACACATTAAAAATGTTGTACGTGAATGAATGCAATTGGCACCAGAAGACGCACCGATCAGCATGTCCAGACAGGCCACGCGCATGTTGAGGTTGGCAGGGTTGGCCACGTCGGTGAGGTACGCAAAGCTTCCGGCCAGGATGGAGGCGTAACCTCCTGTCGCTCCACGCAGCAGGCAGCCCAGGTATAGCCAGGGGAGAGGCAGCTCCAGGCTCACGATGAGAATGTAGACGATACTGCGGGAGGAAAGGGGTGAGGAGAGGTGTCAGCGAGTGACCAGGTGGGCGGTGCGGTGGTAACACTTCACACCAAGCAGGGCCTGGGTTCGATTACAATCATCGACTCGGGCGCCAGCATAATGTCGTTATGTCTGTCCCCTGTTGTTTCTGCATTGGGTTCTGCCGTGTTCTCTAGTTTCCTCACATGGCAAAAGCAAAAATGTAACTTGTATTCTAGATTTGAAGCTTTCGTTCTTTTGGTAAAGTCACGTAGGTATAAAATTAATTAAATCACGACGTTTCGATTGCAACACAAGCACCTGATGACGATTGCTTGTGTTGCAATCGAAACGTCGTGATTTAATTTATTTTATCTTATACCTACGTGACTTTACCGAAAGAACCAAAGCGTATGTAACTCGTATTGGCAAAAACATCCCGATGCCGAAAAATGACCTGCAAATTATTCGATTTGGATGTCACACACACAAAGCAACATTGCCCTCTGCTGCGAAAACTTGGCTGCACCCTCCTGAAACACAGTCGCTGAGACTCGGTGAGGCTTTTCCCAAGTAAACGAGCGTGAGATGAGACGAGAGAAATGCAGACGTGAGACAGAGATGTAGAGAAATTGCAGATGTAGGCAAAAATATATGGAGATGTAGGAAATTTGAGAAGAAAGCTGTAGAGAAAGAGATACAGATGTAGTGAGATGAGACAAAATCGATGTCGACGAGACATGTACATATTCTTAGCTCTTTCGGTAAAGTCACGTTGAAAGGAAACAATAAAATATATATTTTATTCTTTTATTGTTTCCCTTAAACGTGACTTTACCGAAAGAGCTAAGAATATGAATTACTGCAGTCACGAAAGCTTTAAATCAAGAGACATGTACAGTAAAACCTTGTGGATTGCGAGTAACTTGTTCTGCGAGTGTTTTGCAAGACGAGCAAAAAATTTAAATAAATATTAATTTGATAAACGAGCGAGGTCTTGCAATACGAGCAGTACGTATATGCTTTGTCTGCCGAGCGTCATGTGATCACAACTGATATACGAGTGCTTTGATATACGAGTGCTTTGGAAAACAAACACGTTTCCGGAACGAATTATACTCGCAATCCAAGGTTTTACTGTGTTCAGAAAAATATGGCAGATAGAATAAATTAAATATGTAGTCATCGCCAATACACGAGATATAGGAGGTGTATTCAGCGGATATATAATATGGACGAGAATTATGATGTACGGGGATAAGAGGACATGCGTACAATGCTTAACAAAAGCAACGTCTTCCCTCATCAGTCTCTCCACATCAAAACGTGTCACGTCACTCAAGAGCCAATATGCTGGGCAAGCCAAGTTACCTTTTATTCATTAAATCTCTAAGCCGTGGAAGGCCATTTCTAACAGTGAGTTTGAGTAATACCGCCGACTAGTGAGTTGCATTTGGCTCATAGGCCATAGATTGTAGAACTGCTTTTTGTGTTTAGGTTGTTGTCCTCACGCAAATCTCATTAGCACGGTCGGCAAAAATACGGTGCGAAAGAAGTCCAACATACATGCATAGCTTGGACGGCCTTCCACTCAAGAGTGGAGCCAGAACGTAGCGATGTGTGAACAACAACAACAACATACCTCTCCAAGCTGTAGCCAATGCAGGGCAGTATCATCATGAGACGGCGCCCACTGGTGTCGCTGTACACGCCCAGCACCAGCGAGGCCAGCACGGCCGGCAAGAACCCTACGAGGTCCAGGCGTACCTGGAATCGGGATGCAGCTGCCTGTGCCTCCTGCAAACGTGGCAGGCACGGAGTGAGTCTCAATGAATGAAAAGCTCTACACATTGGGATACAAATGTTGTAAAAGGTAACGTTTTGGGTAACGACCCTGTGTCGTAGCATGGAGATGGTGAAGGGCCACGTGCTATTAAGGAGGGCCATTGCCAAGCACGTCGCCTTTTATGCATATATAGTGTTTCCTTTTAAGGCCACGCCTCCGATTCGCACGGTTGGCTATGTACAGCGCGAAGCAAGTTGCACATTCGTATACAAACAAAGTGTTTTTGATGTGTTGAGTTTTGTTAATCTGTGCTTGTGCACCACTGCCAACGCAGCAGCATAACTAATGAATTAATTTAATGAGCGTTATTGCCATTCCACAATAAGGACGGCATTCACATTATGGGGGCCGACAATGCCCGCAGTGGTGAACGAAAACGACCACACGTGAGAGGCGGTTCGTGAAAGGTCTTCACAATAGATGCGCGCTTGTTTCAGAGATTAGGAGATGTTTCACTTGTTAATAATATTCTTAGTTTTTTCGGTAAAGTCACGTTGAAGAGAAACAACAAAATAACAAAATATATATAAAACAATAAAAAATTCTCACGACGTTTCGACTATAACTCAAACGGTCATCATCAGGTGTGTGATGACCGTTTGAGTTATGGTCGAAACGTCGTGAGAATTTTTTATTGTTTTATATATATTTTATTATTTTGTTGTTTCTCTTCAACGTGACTTTACCGAAAAAACTAAGAATATGAATTACTGCAGTCACGAAAGCTTTAAATCAAAATTTTGTTAATAATAGTTTAGCGTTGTTGTTCCAGCTCGCGTTAGCACGAATGATGATCGTCAACGGCCACTGCTGAATTAAGGCCTCCCGAAAACTTGATATCGTCCCCCACGCTTTCACGACTCAAGCACCCGTCTAGCTCCTTGCTCACCAGTTGATCTCATCGCTCCTTCGCCTTGGTGGACATCATCTCGGGTGGGTTCCCCTCGTTGGCCCGCCACTCCGTCGTAACAATTTCAGAATTTCTATTTATCCTGCAGAAATCCGATGAGCTATGAAGCTCTTTTTCCACAGATGTCCAGTAGGGGCACGGGGTCAGGAGGTTACAGCCTCGAGCACCGGCTATCGTCTCGTCCAGACATGTGACCTTTCCCCAAAGCCTGCTTACTTTTCTTAACAGTCGGTCTGATGACGAACAACGTGCAGAGGGAGGAACACGTGGATCAGAGAACACAAAATTACAGTACATGTAGTCAGCAGTCATCTCGTCAGCTTGTGCTGTCAGGTCGAGTACGACCTCTGGTGACATCTACGACCGGACTCCGCCATCCACACCTGTCTCTCGCTGCCTCTCGTAGCTGGGGGTCAGTGTGTAAGGCCAGCGGTGTTCTTGACGTCGTCCATCCCACTCCTCTGAGGTCAACCTCTGCCCCTGCTACCCTCTCCACCCCCAAGCAAGACCGATCCCTCTAGTCCAGAGGTCCTTATAACATATCCGAAGTATGGTAGTTAGCATTAGGGATGGATTAATGTGAATTCTATGGCCGGATTCATCTAAATCTTTGTATGAAGGGTATGTATTGTTCTTGAGTCATTGTTAGGGATTCATGTTTGTGTTTGTATTAGATCTTATGTTAGAGGTGGGAGTGTCTTAATTCACAAATTAGATTTGTGGGATTATGCAATTCAAGCACTGTACTAAAAAATAAATTATTTTGAGATTCCTCCTTTCGTATCTGTGAAAATACTTTGAGACCACAAACACACACTGGCTCAGTTTAACACGAGAGGCTTTCGCGACCAATATTATTCATAATAAAGGTTTTTGGGTTAGATCGCGTTATTTATAAATGTGTCGTAACCCTCCACCACCCGACACGGCCAATCAGCAAAAAAGTGTCACGTTGACAAAAGACAAATAGTTCACTAATTTAGCCCACCGGTGTGTTGAAGAGTGAATCCCCAACATTTACAGTTTTTGAGTACGACGTTTCGCTGGTAATTACATCCAGCATCATCGGGCAATTCGCCAGAATGGTGAAGCCCTCACTTGATCCCGGTCTTAAATAGAGCAGCAGGGTGACGTCATCATTTAACTCATTCAGGTGCATTGATTTGAGGCGGAGGGGGGGGGGTTGTAATTATATAATCGATTGGTAATCAGTCAATGGTTATGATTAGTAATGAGTTGTAGATTAGTAATTAGTTGTAATGTGTGTTATTGTGATTATATGCTACGTTAGTAATCAGTTAATTAGTATGTGATTCCCCTATAAGACTAAAAGAACACTAAAGAAATATTAAATTATCTCAAACACAACTGTCGGCAGTGGCAGAACATGCTTGTCAACAAGGACACTCAATTGATGTTGATAACGATGAAGTGTTGTGTTAAACTAATTATTACTGGCAAAGACTAATTAGAGAATCCATTGAAATTGAGAGAAATAGAAATAACTTTAATCGCTCTGACAGCTACAGGCTTAGTGTGGCTTGGAAGCGTATTATTAAATAATACATATTACAATTCCTTATAGGGGAAACACATACTAATTAACGGATTACTAACGTAGCATATAATCACAATAACACACATTACAACTAATTACTAATCTACAACTCATTACTAATCTTAACCATTGACTGATTACCAATCGATAATATAATTACAATACCCCCCCCTCCACCTCAAATCACTGCACCTGAATGAGTTAAATGATGACGTCACACTGATGCTGCTCTATTTAAGACCGGGAACAAGTGAGGGCTTTACCATTCTAGCGAATTGCCCGATGATGCTGGATGTAATTACCAGCGAAACGTCGTACTCAAACTGTAAATGTTGTGGATTCACTCTTCAACACACCGGTGGGCTAAAGTAGTGAACTATTTGTCTTTTATCAACGTGACACTTTTCTGCTGATTGGCCGTGTCGGGTGGTGGAGGGTTACGACACATTTATAAATAACGCGATCTAACCCAAAAACCTTTATTATGAACACACTAATTCCACCTGCATTCCAAAAATTCCATATGGGGGTCAACCTCCACTCCTCCCTACATCCAGCCCATGGGTCAAATTCGGCCCACGACTTCAATTCATACCACCTGTGGCTACAAGAGCCCTGCAAACGCTATTTATCCGTCACTGCAAGAATCTGAGCCGTGTTTCCAATTCACAACTAGAACCAAACATCAAAGCCGAGCCCCACTGGTTTTGCGCATCATCGTTGGATAACGCTAACGTGCGAGTCAATGTGTGGTTGCTCCAAGTTCTATTCGACCTTTGGCAGCATTCTTCGCTCATTTTCAGAGCGGGGCCACTTTCTCAGATAAGACACCATCAGTGTGGGGGCCGCCACACATTTGAAACCACTGGGGGTTTGACATCACGATGATGGGAGGTGTTTTCACGTTCGCGTACTGTCGGGGGGCCCCGCACGTCAGGGGCCGCACCGAAGACCGCCGCGGGCCCGCGAGCGGCCCCGCGAGCCCCTTGCAATGAAAGCACACTGCCCGAAGACAATCGACACGGCAGCAAGGGTCGGCCACGTCAGACGCGGCCAGCTCGTGGTGGCGCACGTGTCTCGCGAGAGCGGCTGCCACCAACAGCCACGCGTCCCAACCCCCCGCCGCGGGGGCCGCCGCCACCACCTGGTGTTGCCGCCCGTGTCGTGGTCGTTAAAGCGCCGCAATCCCCCCCCCCCCCCCCCCCCCCCCCCAGGAACCGTCAAAGCTCCTGCGATTACGACTGCCCTTTGCATGTATGAATGTTGAGCTTCTTTCGTGCCGTATGTGCTAATCGGAGGTGCGGGGGGCGGGCGTTGGACAACAACCAAAACGCAATAAAACCCAAAGCACCTGGAATTCTCACCATCTTGTGACAATCTCGGAAGATAAGCAGGGCTGAGCCCGAACAGTGCTTGAATGGCTGGTCACCACCGTACACAAGACAGGTTACCGGAGAAGGTTGCGGGGGCTGTGCTATATAGTGGACAGCAGAGGGCGGCGTAGCAACATCCATTGTACTGTACTTGTATGCGCCCCCGTTTTAGCACCCCCACCAACCCGCACTGAGCAGTGTAGTGAATATCAATTAATTCTCCATGACATGCACGGGGTGGGAAGGCCCTCATCCAGCAGCGGATTTCCAAAACGGATGTGCATGTACTGCACATGACTACGCCTGGGTGTGGCGATACTCGCCTGTGGTGGGCATTGGTGGATCACGCAGAGATGGGAGTGGTGCTGTGAACGGGGCTCGCACCTCGGTGACATGGCCTAGCGGTTTGAATCCAGCGGCCGCTTCGATTGCTACCGCGTGTGGAATAACCATGGCAATGCTACCACGCGCCGTCTGCTTCACAGGGGGCGTCAAAGATCGCGTGACGTCATTCACGAGGGGCGGGCCTTAGTGCGTTGGCATAATGGTCCTAATTTGCTAAACCCGAAAATTACACCGCAAATTGTTCAACTGGGATTCAGTTTCACACTGCAGCAATCATTGTCCTCTACTGACAAGACTCATGCCCCCCAGGTCTCTGCGGCTTTTGACTCGCCTTAGAACAAAGACGGTCACTAGATCGTGCGCTTTCGGATGCGCTTCCGCGGCCCTCTGGAAGGCTCCTTCCTTCCGATACTCGGAAGCCACTAGAGCTATGCACTTTTAAATCGAGATTGAAAACTCATATATTTAAAACTGCTATTAGTGCATAGTTTGTTGTCCTTCTCCCGCATCTCCGATTAGCACGGTTGGCTACGTATAGTGCGAAAGAAGTTCAACACACATGCAGGCCATTTTTGCAAATAAGACTATCCTGGTCTCTTGAGATCTCACCTGCTTAAACAAAATTAACTTTAAACTAAGCCTCCATGGAAATTAGCTTGTGCCTTTAGGAGACAGTACAGCAGGTAGTTGCTTTTACAAAGCGACTTTGTGAGTGTGCGTGTTATTTGCGAGTGTGTGCCAGTTTTATCCGGGCACTCTGGTTTCCAAAAATGTGGAATTTGCCACACTCCCCAAAAATAAATCCTCCAGAAAAATTACTTAGATTCAGTAACACCTTCTCAGGGAAATGTTTATTTATGCATCACTTTTATATTTATACGTAATTTTCATGAACAAACGACTGTATTCGGATGCCATGGAACATGTTGGATCCATAATTCATAAATGCTCTCCGTGTAAGAAACTTTATTTGTCCATCAGTCATAAGCATTCACTTGAGTTATTTCTTGATGGTACAGACAAAACATGTATTTGGGTTATAGGAATAGGTTTTACCCTTTTAACTGGCACAAAAACTGACACCTTTATTCAAGGCATCATGTTTGCAATAACCACAACACAAGCAGTCAAAATGCAAACAAAAAAGACAACTCTGATAATAATATGCACTGTCCTTGAATTTGATTGGTCCACACCTGAGACAGCTTTTCTTAGAGCTTAGTCTCCATTGGTGTTGGACCAGAAGACGCCAAAAGGCGTACAACTCAAAAACAGCGCACTATCAGAGTATTGAGGGCTCGAGGTGAGCATTTACATTATCAGACCTCCTTTGCCAGAAACAAGATATAGGAATAGGTTTGGGTTATAAGCCCTTATTATTACCAGCTGGAACCAGGGACCTCTGGTATTTATGATGAGTTACATACAAGCTTTTTACCTCTGACCTTGGTAAAAAAAAAAAAGCTGAACAAAGATTTTGACCATGCTAATCGCATGGGGTTTAAAAAAACAACGTTTAAACTCTCTCCCAATTCCTGGAAAAGGTTTTGTATGGAGGTACAATCTAAGTGTTTGGTGGTGGGGCTGAAACCATAAAATGTCATCGACATTTTATGGTTATAGTGAAAAAAAACCTCAAACATTCACGCAATGCAGAAGCGGGCCTTTCTTGACGCCTGTTTTGATTCCCCCTTATGACTGGAGCCACCAGCTGGCTGCCGCAGCATTAGTCGGGACACTCGCCGCATGGGTGCCCAAATCATGGTCAGGCTAATGGGAGGTGGCAAGTAAAAAACCCAATGCATGCCTCTCTACTGCCACGCAAACCCCTACTGCACCTGGCGTGGTCACTCATCTAAGCACTGTCCAGGCTCGGCTCCGCTTGGCTTTGGTGATCGGATGAGGACGGGCGCAATACGGGCGATGTTGTCGTCCCAGGGACAAAGGAACGTACACGCAGCCCTGACCCACGTCTCACCTTCTCGAGCTCGTCTTCGACATCGCTCCCGTTGGGGCTGCACGTGGAGCCGGTGCTGTCGTTGGTGCTGAAGTTGCCAAAGCGGCGGTAGATGTACTGCTGATTGAGCGGCGACGAGAGGAACACCGCGAAGGCGAAGAGCGCCACAATGGGCTCCACGACGCGCACGCAGCCCATCCTGTAGGGCTGTCGCGGAGGGCCCACGGTGGCCGTCTCGCCGTAAGATCCACCGAGCTGAAAACACAGTGAGGCAAAATGTCGCGCTTTCTTTTCCCCCTGCTGGTACATCCGAGCAGAGCGACGCGCGGCCAATGCCCTCATGGTACGGGTGACTTCCCACTTGTTTCCCGTGCAAGGGCCGTAACAAAACCGTGATTACGCTTTGCCTAACGAAACGTCTGAATCTGACTTGGAGCCAAGCAGGGCCAGGGGCGGGGCCTAATGACGCGTTCGTTGTGTGTGTGACTTTAGTCAGTACACGGTGAGGACACGGCCGTCACCATGTCGTCTGCATGTGCTTCGACTCGTTTGTCGTTGTGTCTGTCAGAACACCGAGGACGCAGCTCACCAGCGGTCATTTTAAAATCGAAACAAATCCATTTTCGATAATGCCACGCTCTGAACTTACAAAGCTGGTGCGGCGACATGGCCAGGAGATGGCAGTGCTGAGTATTACACCCTCATGTGCATGGGATTTATTCAGATATCTGGTATTCCTCGCACAAGCCACTCATTAATGGAATTGGCAATGCAACAATTAATCAATCTCCCGCACAGGAGCTGAATTCATCCCATTATGAGGGGGCCAGGGGCATTATACATTGATGCAGATCAATATTAAACACTGTAAAGCAGGTCATGCTGTATGGTGCTGTGATCACTTATTTGAGATGCCATGCTTCGTCGGGAAATGGGGAAGCTTTCATAATAAACTTTCGTCACATGGCTGCTAAAAAAAAATCGGCAGAAAATAAAAATTTCTGCCGAAACTTTCAATCATTTTACTCGGCAGTAAACCACAGACTCCCCAGACTTCAGTCAGCAGCATTTTTATTTCCACGCCTGATGACCGTTGTGTAATCCCCAGAGAATGGTAGCACATAAATGGGTTGTTAGGTGTTGTAATTTTAACCCAATGCTCCTGAGAATTCACCGAACATTTTACCACAGCAACATTGGGTGTGGTCTTTAATCCACTAACAATGAAATGCAGATTCGGAGACTTGAATCCAGTCCACAAGTTGTGAAACAAAATGCCCAGGTATTCAGCAAATAACTTTTATGGCACTCAACTGATTAAAAAAAAATCGTAATCCTAGCCTTCATTAAAAAGTGATTGTTTTCTTTGTGCGAGTTTGTGAATAGATGGCACATTCGGGGTCTGACGATGCATCGATTTAATGTTCATTCTTAAGATGGCGCAACGATTCGTGGGTGAGAATCCGCGTCTGGAGAAAGGCCTCCCCACACCATGTCAGTCACAGAGATCGCGTCAGTGCTGGCTGAGGGAGGGGGGGGGGGGGTGGAGATGGGTGGACCCAGGACTGGTTTGGAGGTCAGACATTACTCTCTATAGATGACGTTTACCGTGGCCAGGAATGTAACTCAGGTTACCGGCTTTGTAATAGCATTACAAAGACTGCTTCTAAGAAGAACACTGCACGCTCAGCTAACTCGGTGTATCCGATTCCCATACAGTACTCCAGCTGTAAACACAAATGAGTCTGTGCACCAGATGTACCCCACCCCACACCACTCGTATTTGCCAAGTGCCACCTCAGCTCAGGCACGTGGACGATGTGTTTACAAAGACGTCTCTCGTGCAAAAAAAAAAGTGAAACGCGTTTCGATACGTGTACAGCGAGCGTGGTGTCGATTCAATGCTGGGCGACAGCCTACTCACGCCGTTGTGGATAGTCATGGTTAAAGTTTTCATACTTCACCACACTGGTGGGTACAGGTTGGTAGCTAAACTACAACATTTTATATTCCACCAGATGAGGCCTATCGAGCTATACAGCTCGTTTTCAGAAGCGACCTGGCCACAAATAATAGCTCAATGAAGTGACTTGTCGCGTGAAAGTGTATGGCAGCCAAATGCTCGAAAACGCATGAATCTAAGTGTGGAAGGAAACAATCGGAGGATCCCGAGAACAATCCGCACGACCACGGGGAGAACATTCAAACTCCAAATATACAGCAGGCGTCAGGGTTGGGATCAACCCCACGATCTCCTGTATTCCAGGCGAGGAAGTTAACATCTCGCCACCATGGTGGTCAAGGCATGTTGTGGAGACACGGCGGCAAAAGATGTACAGGGGCCGTCCATAAATGACGTCACGCGATTTTGGACGATTTTTGACCCCCCCCCCCCCCGGCGTCACAAAAAGTTAGACCCCCCTCAATTATGACGTCACAAAGCTCTGCCCCCCCTCCCCCTAAAATAAAACATGCTTCAAATCGCTTTAAACTATTGTCATTGTAGTGCGTATTTAATGTGGCGCTGCACTCTGATGTTGTATGTAGAAAACATTTATCAAAAAGTCTATTTAATTAAGTAGAACGTGTTGTCTATATATATATTTAAAGTTGCGCATTTTGATGTGACGTCAAATTTCTTAACCCCCACCCCTCGTCACACATCATCACAAATGTCTGACCCCCCCCCTCCCCCAGGTGCGTGACGTCATTTATGGACGGCCCCACAGGACAACAATGGACTTTGCTGCACTGCCTTCTACTGCCCACCACGTAGCCCCAAAACCTACAACACCTGTTATTACGGGATGGTCATTTCCATCACCCAAGCACCACCCAGGCTCAAGCTCTGCTTCGCCTCTAAGGTCACGTGATTTGGTAACAAGCAACACACCGCTAAAACACAAAGATTTCAAAAATGCCATTTAGAAATAACGTCTTATTTACCCAGAAAAGCCACACCAAATGCAAAAGGTATTTGTGAGGGAGGGTCCCTGCATTGAGATGTTTTAGTTAGTTAGTTTTCATTTATTTTGGTATAGCCCTGTGAGCCATTCGGCTCTTGAATTGGGTGCAACCGCAACAAACAAAAAAACAAAAACACGAACAAGAAAACATCTTGAAGTGACTTTGTGCATGTGCCAATCCCAGTGACGGTGCGCGTTTGCAGTTTTTATGTTTTAAACCGATGCTATGGGACAGGTTTAACCCCTTGACACGCTGCTCGTCAGCAGTGAGTGCGTGGATTTTGCATGTTCTCCCCCCGTTCTGCATGGGTTTACCTCAAGTGCACCGTCCTCCTGATGGTCATTCCTGACGGTCACTGCCGAGACGGTGGCGCACTTGACCGTGACGCTGCACGTGAGGAAACCCCCATGCAGAACAGGGGGCAAAGCATACAAACTCCACACACTCAACTCACTCACACTCTCCAAAGAGAAAGAGAGCCCTTCAACCTCTAAAACACTGTTGGAAGGGCGCGACACTCCGTCTTCGAAGGGAAAGGATGACGACTTAGTCCACCTGCTGCACTGCCTTTTCCTGGCGAGCCAAGCTATTGCACCTCGACACACACGGGAAAGGGGGGTTTCCACGGGTCTTTGTGCGATCCACCAACCCTTGTTGCCTCCAGAGTGCTGGACTACATGCCTGCCTTGCCACCACAGCTTGGCGACATTCTAAAACCAAAGTGCAATCTGTGCGAGAAAATATGTGACGGTAAACTGGACTTCAGTCATGCGTACAGAAGTTGGGTTTCGTGAATAGGGGTCAGAATAACACGGGGAGGAAGCAGTAATATATAATTTATAAGAATCATTATTGCCATCAGAGGCCACGGAGACTGCAAGTCCCAAGGGAACATTGCATTAACAAGTGCATGTACATAGAGAGCTTATTAGTTAATCTACTGCTGGGTGAGGTTCCTCCCCTCGATGTGCATGCAGTGAAGGTTATTTGACCATACTTCACCATTCTGGGCAAGTATGGAGTGGTAAAGGTGGGGAGAATGCAAAACAACAATGTACGTATGTACGTTGAACTTCATTCGCACCGTACGTAGCAAAACGTGCTAGCGGATGTGCAGGATGGTTTTAGCTTCACAGGTACACCAGTGACAAAATCTAATTTATACAGCAGAATACCAGTAACGTCCCAATGAGAATGGGGGGGAGGGGGAGGGAGCAAAACAAGAGGGTGGTGGTGCAGTTGGGGAGTGGAAAGGAGGATATTAACCCAGAGAGACATGAAGGAGGCGACATGTGGAAGGGAAAGAGAGAGAGGCATGGCAAAAAATTAAACTAAAAGACCAGGGCCAAAATGAGTCCAAAAAGTGCTTATGAAACCGAGGTCTAGTGCCAGGGTAGCTGGGGCACCCATTAAGGGCGATTTGGCCTACGACCGAATGACCGTTAAGCCAAGCAGGGTTGAGCCCAATTCGTGCTCGGCTTGGGAGACTGTCAGGGAAAACCAGGAATTGTAGGCTTGGGCTCCGAGGTGGTCTGGAGATGGTAATACCGCAATGGATTATAGACTCTAATTGTGCCCACTCACGTTTGTGCTGGGTTTTTTCTCCAGGCACTCTGGTTTCCTTCTGCTTGTCAAGCAATCATTCGTCGAATTGGCCAATTCGACGAACTTCAGAAAAAAAAGGCAGTGAGAATAAATTGGGCTTTTCTGGGTAAATTACAGGAGCTGTTATCTTGTGATGTGTTGTGCTGTGGCAAAACGCGAGGCGGCAGCCCTGCAATTGAATCATTTGGCGGGACCCCGGGGTTCCGCAAAAATCAGGTCAATAATTATTATTTTTCAGTTCGCCCCACTCGTGATCCCGACAGCAACGCGCCGCCCGCCCAGACTCGCGCCAACAAGCGCCAGCAGCAGCAGGCGGCGATCACCACGATGGGCGCCACCCCACCGGCCAAACGCAAGCCCCGGGGGGCGTCCGCCGCAGTCGCGCGCGGCGACAACGCCCTCCGGTCAGCCGTCGATCCTCAGCTTCTTTGCCAAGGCGGGCCCGCCCCCCAGGCAGTGAATTGAACGTGTTTGTGTAATTTTTCAACTTTTTACGAAACTTAGTGCCCCGAGTAGCTCTCGACGAGGCCAATCGATTGACCACTAGTTTTGTTGTCGGTAAGGCAAGACTCGTGTCGCTACGCGGTTTTTCCCACCCCGGGGCAGTGATGGGACCCCGGGGTCCCGCCAATTGCTTCATTATTGCGTGTTCACTCCACTGCTGGCAGAAGGGCCTCCGACAGGCGGCGAGCTTTGGAGAACCCCTCCAGACTCGAGAGGGTATTTGGCCTAGCCCCTTCCGCGTTGGCCAGACGTTTGGGAAGAGGTGCGAGTTCTCCCACAATGCACCGCATCACAACCGACCTGACGATTGATCCCGCCTGTGGCGTCGTCCATTGACACTGCTGGGTGAACAGAGGCACAGGGGGGAGATCGAATCGAACTGATGACCGCTGATTAGCACGGTCAGCTACGTACGGTGCGAAAGAGGGTCAACATGCGTACGACCTATGGATTGCAAGTCCAGTGCGCTGACCATTACACCACGACAGCATCCCTTACGTTGTGCATTGCCGCATACATTAGAGCGTCCACGCCGTACACACCAAGAATAGAACACACCACTGCTCGCAGCTATAAAATGAGACCCAAACTAAGATTTTGCGTTCGACACGCTTACCCTATAATTTCTTCGCGAATGCAACTTCATAGCTGTGATCAAGGGGGCAATTGAATGTCGTCATACAGTAAACCACTGCAGCCTGCGCTTCTTCAAACGAATGAGGAACAGGCAAAACTAAACATAGCCCTCTCCTGAAGCCCTCTCGATGTGACTCACAGAGCTCGACATTGGCATTTATCTCCTGAAAACATCGACACGCACAAGAGTAGAATCAACCAATGTGATTTATGTACAGCCCTTTATCAATCCACCACTGGATGGAGGCCTCTCAGTTGAATGGGGTTACTTGACCATATTTCACTAGGCTGGTCAGTGTGGGTTAAAGGGCGGGGGGGGGGGGTGGGTGGTGGTGATGGCTCGGGACCTCAGGTCGTCAGGTTCATAGTGCAGTGCAATAACCACGACGTCACCTCTAACCCCACATTTCTTACAAAATGTCCACCATGAGTGATACATTAGTCATGAATGTTAGATGACAGGTTATATATATATCCAGAAGTGGAGTTGTGGAACAATTCCATTTCCCGACAATTCCAGGACTTGTAGCCGTTCAGTCTCACACTTTGATTCGTGATTCAATGACACGTGACGTTATGTGTACATTACAGCCCTTTATCAATCGAGTTCTGGGTGAAGGCCTCCCGATACCTTATCAGGCTACAGGTTTATATGACCCTACTTCACCAAGGGGGTCATGGCCAGGACCGGTTCAGATATCACTTGCCACTAATGTTGTCTGTGGCCCATAATTGAACCTCGGTTGCTGGGTTCGTAGCACAGTGCACTAACCACTGCGCCACCGCTCTGCCCAAGTGACGTGCGAATAGAAAAAAAAATCTATTCTCACAGGCGCTATTAGCCGCGTGTATTTGGCGATTTTAAGCGACGGGTCGACGTTTCGCCACTACACACTGCCGCTGGAGAAGTTTTCACAGGTGCCTTTGTGGACTGTCACTCACACGGCCGCCTCGTAGACATGCGAATGTGGCTTTCTGTTTTCGTGACGCTGCTCAGCACGTTTTCTTAAATCCAGCTAAACCATTTTCTATTCCCGAGCCTCGTAGGGCAATGTGCAGAAACGCCACAAATGAAAAATATACCGTACATTTCTTGAAACATGGAAGAGAATGTTTGTTAAGATGTGCTTTTTTTATAAATATAAACATACGAGACATCAACGTAAATGTCCCATAACATCAATGCACATTTTCTATCAATGTAGTGGACATATCATCATCCATAATCGGTTCACTGCTGGATGAAGGCCTCTCTAAAGCCCAACGACATCTCTCACGATCCTGCAAATGTTAACAATCCAACTGGCTCCTGCACAGGAGCTGATTCTACCACTCCATCTCCATCGCCGACATCATCTCGGGCAGCGGGTTCTACCACTCCATCTCCATCGCTGACATCATCTCGGGCAGCGGGTTCTACCACTCCATCTCCATCGCTGACATCATCTCGGGCAGCGGGTTCTACCACTCCATCTCCATCGCTGACATCATCTCGGGCAGCGGGTTCTACCACTCCATCTCCATCGCTGAAATCATCTCGGGCAGTGGGTTCTATCCTTTGGCTGCCACTCCATCATGTCTCAATCATCAGCCATCATCCAACCTAGAGACGTGATGTCTAATCCACATAGGCCTTAATCCATCTGTCCTTTAATAATATTGCAGCCAGTAAACATGATATATTGGACTGTATCAGAAACACTTTTTTTTTAAAGAATGTATTATGTAAATTGTGAATAGAGTAAGAGACAAAGGTCGTTTCACCAGGTCAAATAAAATACAATTTTTGTTCATCGGCTTGCGAATCGGTCTCTCGTTTTGAATGTATACAAATGTAAATTCCGCTGTTAATCCTTGGGCAGCAACCCAGTGACGAATGGAACCGTTCCAACCAAGATGCCAACGTTGACCCAACGTTGGCATGTTTACAATACTTGGAAGGCCCATATAGACGTCGACTGTTGGACCTTATCGTATTTGTTTTAGTGAATTAGAGATCCGTACAGAGATAAATACATTTAGATAGACATTAGTTCGTACTAATGACACACATTTCACACCTGTTATACAAGCGACTACATAAACAGTCAAAGATCCCCGTATAGCCTCTTTAGCCTCAACAGACTATTGCAGCAAGTGCTGTTAGCGAGCGCCTATGAAGGCCGGCACGGCACACGAGGCGGTGGGTGGCCAGCACCACGCCCAGTCGCCTTTGTCTCCCTAGTGGCGACGAATTTACACACTGCACCAGGGACTTATTTGAGGCCGAGTCGACCTAGGGGAGGCCCAGGACCGGTTCAGTTAATCGTCACTGGGGTCGGCCGTGAGCGAGAAATCGAACTCGGGTCGCCGGGTCCGTAGTGCAGCGCCGCGCGCTAACCGCTCCACTACCGCGCCCCACAACAGCATCTGTACACACACACACACTCGCATGCTCCGACGTCTCAGCTTTCCTCCTTCTGGTCTTTAAACCACAACCAGCATCCACCAGCGTGGAGAACTTTCGATCAAACAATCCCCGCGATTGACACGGACGGCGCGCGGTGGCCCTCATTCGGCAGCGCACCGCCAAAAGCTCTTATTGCAGATACTGTACCAGGTAATTGCGAATTCACGTCAGGATTTTACCTAATAAGCTGGCAATAGGGGAACGTTGACGCGTTTAAACGGTGCGGTTACGCAAGGTGATGCACGCGCGGTACGTCTACGTGTGTGTGGGTGTATACCGCACAGGTGTGGTCAGTCTGGTCGAGACGCGTGGGGAGGAAGGCGTCCAGGTTGGGCAGTCACGACAGCAACTTTTGTGTTCCAGTGAGCGAGATGCAACACGCATGAGAATGAGAGTGGGTAAAAGGGGTTTATGAGCAACAACTTCCGTAAACGTGATAACTCACGCCACGTGGTTGTTTTGATACACGGTATAACCTCACCTGAAATGTAATTACATTGACAATCTGATATTGAATTATGGAAAAGGGCTTATTTACCCTTTATGGCTTAAATACCAGTGTTAGCATGTTCCAACACCATACAGACACGAATTACAAAGGCATCGAGTCTGCATTAACCACACATACCTGTGGTTAAAAGGGGTCCTACCTATACTAGATCCTGTCGAGAGATATATTGCACCGGTCCTGGGGCCACCCACCCTCCTACAATCCCTGCACCAACCTAGACAGACCAGAGTGGTGAAGTATGGTCAAATAGATGTAGAGATGTAATATCAAAGCTATGATTGCGGTAATGGTAGGGCTGGCGGAGGGTGGATGCAGTCTGCAACCGCATACAGAGCAACAAGTGAAGAGTTAGTTGATGAGTGGATTTGTAAATTGTGAATTGACCGAGGATGGTGGAAATGGTTGAGAATATTTAATGACAGAACAGGGCACGGGCAGGCAGGGAGTCTTCCGGGAGTCTTCTAACGCTGCAGAAGTTGCTGCGTGAGTTGCTGCATGAGTTTTTTGCAGCTTATAATGGTCGAAATAATGAATAGTGAGTCTACAATCTCAACGTGCAACGTGGCCAAGTTCATTTGAGAAACGACACCCATGGCCGACACGGTACGGGGAAGTCCTTCATCCAGCAGTGGAGTAGCAAAGAGCTGTGTGTACGTGAATTTATAATTGCACGCAACGTGTCAAGCGCCTGCATTGTGAAGACTGATGACGAGACGTCTCTCTGTGTGTTCGAAAAGTCGTGGGTTTTTTGCTTTTATTTTTATTTAATTGGATTATTTTTTACGTATATTTTATTTTATATCTACGTGACTTTACCGAAAGAACCAAGAATATGAATTCCTACAGTCACGAAAGTTAAGTCAAAATTAGTTTCATACCTGTCATCCTACAAAGTCCCATCACAAGGGAAGAAACACACAAATCGATTTAAAAAAAAATGTTTTTGCCCGTATTGAAAACGGCTGTACGCCGTATGGACCTGAAAATTAAAATTCCCTTTCCAAGTGTACGGGGATAAACCGTGTGGTTTGACAGTCGGTGCTCGCTAACAGCACTTGCCCCAACAGTCTGCAGAGGCTACACAGGTTCAGCGAGCACCCACTCCTGTTTG